GGGGCGGAGGGAGGAGACGGAGGGTGTGGGAGAGGCGGCTTCACCGGCGCGGGCGGCGGCGGCGGCCGCGCTGCTCTCGCTCCTCAGCAGCGGGGACCGAGAGAGGGAGCTGTGTCTGAGGAGACGCCAAAATCCCCCTTAGCGCTGCCCGCGGGAGGGGGAGGGGGCACAAGATGGCGGCGGCCGGGGGGGCGGGAGTTCAGCTCATGGATCCCGGCGGGCGGCGGAGGGGAGACCGGGCCGGCGGAGGCGGCGGCGGCAACGGGCGGGGGAGGGGGCTGATCCCGCGTCTCCCCTCGGCAGACAATACAAGCGCCTCGGAGCGAGTCCCCGAACCTGCCCTAGCCAAAATGGCGGCCGAGAAAGAGCGGAAGTGACGTAGTACCTTATTAGCATAAGAGGACTCATTGTCCAGCTAAGTAGGGGGGGGCAGTAGGGGACAGTATCCCTTCCCCCCATGTCCCCCAGGGACAACTCTCTTACTCCCACCTGTGCTTGCACCTAACTTTTTCTGAGGGAGGGTGGCCCCAGCACCCCACCCCCGCCTGAGGGAAATTATATAATCCCCACTGAGGGGGAGCTCTCGCGAGAACCAAGATGATTTGCCATTGACCCACTAGGAGGCGCCGCGGATAATGGCCGCAGTGCGCTTCCAGGGCTTGTGTGCACGGCGGGCGCCTTCCCCTGGCCGCAGCGCCGGCGGCGGAGGCACAAGCAGCGGCCGCAGCACGCCCTGCACTCAGTCAGGTGGCCGTGCTGGGGATCCCTGCGCGGGCCCCGCGGGGCCTGGACTAGATCCGGCGGGAGGGGGCGTGCGGGCCGCCCGCCGCTCCACGTGCTGGCAGGCGCGCGCTCTCACGGGCTGGGCAGCGCGGAAGGGCAGGGACGCCCGGCCGGTCGTGCCTGACACCTCCTGCCTCAGCGGAGGTGTGAGGGCCTCGTGCTTCACACAGCGACTTGAGATGAGGCACAACCCATGGGCGCCGGACCCGTCCTGGCGGGCCGGGCTGTCCGGTGCACAGGGGCTGCGTGTTGCAGAAGGCCGCCGCTGCCCAGGGCTCGACATTGCTCCGAGTCAGTGATGGACTCTTCTCTTGGGCCTGAAGACACAAATGGGATCGCGAGCGTTTTGAGGCCACCGGACTGGTGCAGCCTAAAGATGAGAAATGCTGTTGCCAGCGGGCCTCCACCAGGTCCTTAAAAACCACCCTTCGACTGTAGTCGCGGACAGTCACTTGGGCTCCCACAGTCGGGACAGCGGAAGATAGCACGCGGGCACTCTGCCCTTGTCAGTTTAGGTCAACCCCAGCCAACATTCTCCTCCACATTGTGAACCCACCTTGTATAGTCCAGTGCGTCTATAACATTGGCTAAGCAAAATAAATGCCAACTCTGAAGATGAACCAAGCCTGTCTTAAGATGTGCTCTGTAAATACACATCTTTTGCTGTTTCTCTCCATTTCAAGTTAAAATAGTTTCAAACCATACTTAACATCCAAAAGAATCTAACTTAATTGAAAATAGTACAAATTGTGGTTACATATAGCTCAGCGTCTAAGACTTCAGTTAGCAGGTTTAACAAGCTGTTTCATCCAACATAGTATTCCATTAATTTCTGAAATTGTGATAAAATATATCTTTAAAAGCCAAATCAGTATTTCAAGGGAAAACAACAGCTGGAAAAAGTTGTAAAAAGGGGTGGGGGGTGGGGCAAAACATTTGATTTAGAGAAACAAAGATGAAAAATCTAATTACATGCTGCAGAAGACAGGCAAAAGCCAATATGAAATAAGCAAAATAATTTTATCTTCAGTTTAGTTTTCCTTAGATATACTTAGATTTCATACAGTGATAATACAAATACAAAGGGAGAACATGTGGATTTCATCCTTGGCCTCATTTACAAAGTAAAAAGGGATGTTGGATTCACATGTAAATGTTTAAAAAGATTTTACAGTGTTTAAGTCACCAGATTTACTACAAAAATGCATCTAAATAGTCCAGATTCTTTTCTAAATAACTTCCAAATGGTGAAAGTCTTCACTGCTCAAATACTTTCTTTACTGTAAACTCCAATAAGTGATAGAGTTGTAATGATTGTGGGAATAAGAAACAAAAAGATTAAAAAGGCAAAAGGTATCAACTCTAGTGAGGTCCAAGAAGGCAATACCTTACAGTGGGTTCTCTGAAGGAGTTACTTAATTTCTGTTCCACATACTTGACAATGAAAACTTAACTTTGGGTTTGGATGAAGAATAGATTCTAAACACTCAAAAAAAAAAAAAATTATATTTCTATGTTAACAAAACTAATTTTTCATCAAACAGTGATGAATTTTCTAGCTGTTATTAATGATGAGAGGGGTCACTTCCCCAAGAAAGGTAGGTCCCTCGTGGGCTGGCTGCACAGCTCTGTGTAAAAGGGGAATAGAATAGGAGAGGCCCTTTGTGGAATGTGTCCTATGGATTCATCTATGGGAACAGGTAATGTTCAAAATGACACCAAAGGTCTTATACTCTGGTATTCATTTCTGGTAGGATCTGTTAGAAATGCAATTGGAAAAAAATCAGATTTTAAATTTCTTTAGCAGCCAAACTAAGCCAGGAAAATATAGTAATTAGCAATACTGTTCACTAAATATGCTTATTAAATAATTAAAGATGCCTCTTCCTTTTACTTGCAAAGGCAAGTCAACGTGGTCTTAAAAGCTCATTTGCTCCAAGCATGTCTTACCCAAAATTTTAAAAGATACTACATGATCCAAAAGCTATGCTACAGTTAGTAATTGATCTTTTTTGAAATACCTACTTTTGAGAAAGTAGGTAAACAGAATATTTGCACTGGCTTTATTGAACAACTTAACCTGCATTTTAACTGAGAACACTTTTCTGAACACAGAGAAGAGCTATATAGGGAAGAGATTTTTGTTATATTAGTAAAGATGTATGATTTCTCAAGGGTCCTGAAATAATATGAAAACAAATATTTTGAGGAAAAAATCTTTATATAGTAAGATGTTTAAAAATTACTATAGCAGCTAAGTTTATGCCTTAATGTCATCAATATTTTTCCTTACTGATAGAAGTTATTGCTCAGAAAAGAAAAAAATTATGCAATCAACTGCTGTCAAGTTGTTTCCAATTCATCATATGTATTTTAAATAGACTTGCTTTGACAGATGAAATGCTTCATCAATTCAACAGCTGCAAAGAACCAAACTCTAAAATTGTGCTCTAAATGTGTTGTTTTATCTGGTTTAAGACATCTGAGATACATTAAAGAAAGGGCAGAGGTGTGTATTTCTTTTTCAATTCATACAGAAACAGCCATATATATTTCATGAATACAATTAGCATTCCTCTTACTTCTGACATCTATTAGGTACAAAGATCTATGAATCCACTTTTTATAAAGAATATTTCAAAATCTTCCCCATGTAAGATATTCCGCATTCACATACTCTACTGAAAGCAATATTTTATGCAAAATACCCATATATATTTATTTATAGGTCTTAATACAGCAAAACGTAAATGAATACTGAGAACACTGCTCATTCTTCTAATTTAATTTGACATATAAAATGGAGTTTCTTCAGAAAAAAGATTTGCATGAAATTTACCTTACCTTATGATATATGCTCTAAGCATACATTTTATAAAAATGAGCAACCAGAGTTCTTTTATGTTTAAATTGAAATGAACATAAGTATAAATAATAACTTTCTTTTATGTAGTAGCAAAAAGAGTCAATAATCCTTTCAAGAAAGAGACTATTTCATTTCCTCCCAACTTGGATTCACCATAAACACGATCCACAAATGATATTGGAACCTAGTTAAAAAAATATATGTTAAGTCAGTCTTCAAAAATATTAGAAAGGAGGCGTAGCAGGCATACAACAATTACTAATACAATAGAAACAAGATTAATCCCATGACGGCAAGTCTTTCAAGTAAGTTCAGAATCGGGATTCTTTACAGCAACTGTGTGTACCTCCAAGTCTTTAAAATTAAACATGCATTTTATTATCTAAAAATAGGTCATTTGAACCAAATCTACAACTGGTTGAAAAGCATTGATCCTGAATATTAAGTTGGTTTATTCAAGTTTCAGACTGCATTTCACGGAAAAATTATACTCCAAAAGTAAAATGGCCTTTCACTTAATTTTTTCAGTAGTCCATCAAATTTAGCTGTCACTATGTTTTAGTATTAAGTTAAAAATCTTATAACTTCCACAAGAGAAGTGGCATTCTAATTAGCTATTTTCTTGCTCTAAATAAGAGTATTACACAAGGAGGGTCTTCCCTAGGAGCTCACTAGCTGGCTGGAAATATTCTAGACAACCCCCCCCCCCCCACACCCAATTCCTGTCCTTTTCATTTACTCACAGGAAATGGGCAAATGGGGTTCATCAGTCGTTTTAAAGTAGGGTGGCTGTTGGCCATGGCAAGAGAAAAAGCAGCCAACAGACTCATCCCATAATGCTGAGTGGTCAGAAGAAGGGGCAAGGATGGAGACAGTACCAGTAACTTTTAATTATTTAAAAGGGAATGCTGCCTTCTATTAGTGTTTTAAATCTTGTAAGTCCAACCTATTAATTTGAAAGGGATGTGAATTTTCACCCTTTAGTGTATGGACATTCTAAACAACTGGAAGCCTTCCACATTTACTCAGTAGTTATGAAAGTTAAACTTATTATAAAAAGTCTAAAAGTTACTGTTTCTTTATGAGGAACAGAATACACTATTTACCATCAGTTGCATACCTCGCCAATAGTATAGTTCAGCTGTCTTGCCCGAACGATCATTTCCATCTGGAAGACATAGCCTTTAGAAACACATTTTTCTATTAATTTCTGTAGAACTTCTTTTCGGTACAACCTGTAAGAAATTAAGATATATATGAACACCTGGATAAATACACTTGCCTATATGTATCCTGACCTTTCGAAAAGCTCACTGGTATTCATAAAACCTAAAACTTTCACTAGCCATTTGTATATAGAAAAGTTCTTAGAGTTGATGATTATGATACATTTGTCCTGAACTGGAAAGGTCATGAAATATTTGGTAAATAATTTAGAATAATTTTGAAAATGAATTCTTAGTATGTTTTAGAGAATTATTTTCCTATCATACTATCAGAAATTATAAAAATATGGTAAATTGAATAATTTGAAGCAGAACTACCCATTGTTTTTAGTTTTTAAATTTTCTAAAATTTAAAGTTGGAGGAGAAACTATTCCAAATATCGGAACAATTGAGTTGATGATGAAGCAACAATATAAACTAGATGACAAAAAATAATCCAGTAATTAACAGGTGTCTCCTCATAAAAGTCTATGATGAGTTTCTATTTCTCAAGATCTACTAAATAAGTTCCCTGGGATAAACTAAGTCCCTCTGGGATGAGGCTGCTTGAGCTGGGTTAAGACAGGAACAGGGCATCACGGGACGGAGGCAATCCTGGTGGGATATAGCTATCACCAAGTGAGGTCACAGTTAGACACTCATCATGGGCCAACGCCCCGTCTACCAGAGGTGGGCTGCAGGCCAACCACAGATCGCATCACATTTATGAAGCAGGAGTAACACAGGGTCTGGGAAGTCCAATGGGGGGACCCAATCACTGTCTTCAGGAACTCCCTGTTTTCATAGTTGCTGAGGTAAAAAAACAAACAAAAAACCCCCAGAGTCTCAGTGAATAGGGAGGGAGCAATTTCTACCTCTTTTTTTTTGTGGGGGAGAAAACTAGGAGAGGCAGTTTGGCATAACTCTGTTCTCTTTGCAGTTGAAGCCACCTGGATCTACAATGCCAGAGGGTTTTACCTGGAACCCACATTTTTTCCTCAGGCTTCTTCTAAGGCTACCTTTTGATTTGTCAAGCTTTTAAGTGAATATAAGACTGCAGAAAGCAGTCTTGAGGAACTTGAGAGGGATTAGTGTACGCACTCCTCTACCCACACAGGTTCCGTAAGAATTCAAAGAATAAGTCTGGAATAAATCCGAAGTGAGGAGAATCTGATGGTAGTAATATTTATTCAATAACAAATATTTATTGAGCAATCCACTCTGTTTCAGGCACCTTTTTATGTTTTGGGGTTTTAGCACTAGAAACTAAATCAAGATTATGTCAGGGCTGGCCCAGTGGCGTAGCAGGTAAGTTTCGGCCCTCTGCTTTGGCGGCCTGGGGTTCGCAGGTTCGGATCCTGGCACAGACTGATGCACCGCTTGTCAAGCCATGCTTTGGTGGCATCCCATATAAAGTAGAGGAAGGGGCCGGCTCCGTGGCTTAGCGGTTAAGTGTGCGCGCTCTGATGCTGGCGGCCCGGGTTCGGATCCCGGGAGCGCCCCGAGGCACCACTTCTCCGTCCAACGTGAGGCCGAGTCCCACGTAGAGCAACTAGAAGGATGTGAACCTATGACATACAACTATCTACTGGGGCTTTGGGGGGAAAAAACTGAGTAAATAAAATCTTTAAAGTAGAGGAAGATGGGCATGGATGTTAGCCCAGGGCCAATCTTCCTCAGCAAAAAAAAAAAAAAAAAGATATATGTCAAATGATGTTAAGTAGGGGAGAGAGGACTGAGATTATGGGAAGGACATGATGGGATATTTCAGCATTACCTTTAAAATTGGGATTAGGCTATGAATTCTATGCCTTTATTTTTTATTTTTTTTTTGTGAGGAAGATCAGCCCTGAGCTAACATCCATGCCAATCCTCTTTTTTTTTGCTGAGGAAGAGTATCCCTGGGCTAACATCCGTGCCCATCCTCCTCCACTTTATATGGGATGCTGCTACAGCACGGCCTGACAAGCGGTGCCAGGGATCCGAACCCCGGGCTGCCACCAGCAGAGCATGCGCACTTAACCACTAGCCACGAGGCCAGCCCCAAATTCTATCCCTTTAAGAGTTACTTTATTCCCTGTAAAAGTCATTTTTTAAGACATTATTTCTCTTCATTGCCACCTCTCTCTCCCCCACCACAATATCTTTATTTTTATTTATTTATTTTTCCCCCCAAAGCCCCAATAGATAGTTGTATGTCATAGCTGCACATCCTTCTAGTTGCTGTATGTGGGACGTGGCCTCAGCATGGCCGGAGGTGGTGCGTTGGTGCGCGCCCAGGATCCAAACCCAGGCCGCCAGCAGCGGAGCGCGTGCACTTAACCGCTAATCCACAGGGCCAGCCGCCACGATATCTTTAAAACTATGGCTAATGATGTAAAATTATATACATGAAGCCATATGACCAATAAATGGGATCCAAGTGGTATTTGCAATTAATTGGCTTTGCATCAGACTGTAGTTTTTCTGGGATTCCTTTTATCTTGGAAAAGGCACATACCTCCTAAATCTAGGGATATGACAATGAACTTTATCTAATGAAAAGCTGAACTTTAATGCATGTATTTAATAAATCACTACTCTTATGAAGAGATGATGAGCTTTAACTATTTAAAAAAACAGTGAAATCAACAGGCTCACTTTCATCTGTGTGTGGCTGCTCTGTCACCTGCACAGAATACACCCACTCACTGCTCTCACTACATGAAATCCAGAGCTCCCAGGCCATCCTTCATCCTCACACCCTCCTCTAATCCCCCCATGGTTCTGGTGGCAGTGAGGCGTCCCCCCCATTACTCTCCCTGCTGTGTTTTCTCCACAGCATAATCCCCATGTGACACTGCATATATTTTATGTAGTTGTAAGCCTCATGTCATTAGAATGTGCAAACTGCAGGAGGACAGGGACTTTGACTCCTGTTCGATGCCTGGCACACAGCAGGCACTCAATAAATATCTGGTGAATCTAAAAGGAATCACCTTGCTCACTCACCACACATTCTCATCCCCCGCTCCTACAAATATGGGTAGGATGCTGCGTTTCCAAAAGGTGAAGGGGCCTTCTGATGAAGTAACTAGGGGAACTACAAAAAAGCAAAGCCCCTCTCTCCACAACCCACGGAGCTACCTGGGTCTTCATTCAAAACCATGATGCCTGTGGCCTATGAAGGCCACACCGGCCACTCCCCCTGTACAGAGATTCAGTGAGTGCCACAACTCGGTGCATTGTTGCTACATGGCAATCAGAGATCTTAATCAGATAACACATTATTCCTTTGCCTCGAAGTGTGGAACTGAATGGATGTATTTATGGGCCCCCATCTGTCTTTTATACACCAAATTCTGCTTTAATCAATTTACACTTCAATTCTAAGATGCTTCATTTTCATTCTTGGACCTCTGATTTGTGATGGCTCCTCTCGTCACTTTAGACTCTCTCTCTGTCTTCCTATCTCTGACCTGCTATTCAACAGACTTGCAGTTGCACTGGAAGTACAAGTTACCTTCAACAGCCAGCTCCTAAATTGTGTGTGTGTGTATCAATTCTAATGAATAACCAAAAAATCAACATTATTTAATGGGAAAAAACAAATATCAAGTAATATGATTATTAACTAATGCATGGGGTTTGGCACTTAAAATAGACATTTTATAGTTTCAGAGATAAAAACAAAATCTGGCAATCTTTAGTCATTTGGCATGGTCATAGAAAACAGTTCATCTACTGTAGCAAGTCTAGAAATTACACACACACCCCCCCAGAAACAAACAAAAACACCCCAGGGACCTAGCAGGAGGCTTTGCTCCAATTAAACAAGAATTTTTTATAAAACACATATGGAGAACCAGGTAACTGAAAAAGCTCTACTTAAATATTCAAGATTTTAGACTTTTCTGTGGACAATGCTACAAATATTCATATAAAATGCAGAAAATAACTGAAGAGGTGCACATTACCAGTGACAACAACGTTCTGCATGAGCAGTGAGGGGGCACCTTGGGCCCCCTCAGGGGCTGAGCATTAATACTAATGTTAACAAGCACACCAACTTAAGCCTTGCCTTCGAGGCTCTTTAAAAAGTGCAACATTTTGGGGGCCAGCCCAGTGGCCTAGTGGTTAGGTTCAGTAGTGCATTCCCCTTTGGCGGCCCAGGTTCTGTTCCCAGGTGAGGATCTACACCAACCCGTATACAAAATAGAGGAAGACTGGCACAGATGTTAGCTCAGGGAGAATCTTCCTCAGCAAAAAAAAAAAAAAAAAAAAGTACAATATTTTTCCTTAGGAAGATGCTTAGGCTTCATTTGCAGCTTCCAAGGAACTTCAGTCTACCTTTTTTAGTGTTCCAAAACAAAGAAAGGGTAGAAATGAAAAGCACTTCTTTAAAATAAGCCATTGCAAAGCAAGAAATTTAGGCAAGATGTTGCAAATAGCAAAAAAAAAATAAAAAATTACAAGTTTTCACTGTACCTGAAACTTCCTGTTAAATCAGATGCTCCTGGTCTCAGCAAAATCTGAGTCATAAAATTGGCCCCACGGCTGTCAAAAAAAAATCAGATTTTTTTTTGAAATGAAATAGTTTCTAAACAAGAGAAACACATCCAAGAACAGAGTGCTAAAAATGCTACACTAATTTCACAAATGCAACACACTATTTCACAAAAATGTTAATTCTATAGAACGAAGAGAAATTTTCAGTCAGTGAAAGCAGATCTATTTCTCATTTTTCAGAAAACAGAGATTTTTAGGGGCCGGCCCAGTTAAGTTCACGTGCTCTGCTTCAGCAGCCCAGGGTTCGCAGGTTTGGATCCCAGGCATGGACCGATGCACCACTTGTCAAGCCGTGATGTGGCACGTGTCCCATATAAAGTGGAGGAAGATGGGCACGGATGTTAGCCCAGGGCCAATCTTCCTCAGCAAAAAGAGGAGGATTGCCAACAGATGTTAGCTCAGGGCTACTCTTCCTCACAAAAAAAAAAAAGAAAATAGAGATTTTTATTCTTTGAAGGTGACATTTAGAGGGGACCTATAAAGCAATCATTCTTCCAAATTTTAGGTAAGAACAGTAACAGAGTTTTAACTCCAATGTTTGCCAACAGTCATCACTTAGAACTGCGAACATCTGTTAGACAATAAAACGGACCAGGGATTCGGAGTTTCCTTTTCAGATTCTAATAAGCACAAAGGGATCTCAGTTTCAACCAGGTAATAGGTCAGTCTGCATGAAAATGGCACTTGTTTTTTTTAAAGAAGGTATGGAAGTGGGAGAAGGTTTTGGTTTTTGGCAATCTCTAGAAAATGACCAAATGTTCATTCTGAGACTATCTGAGAAGGCTTGGGCTGCTATAACAAAATACTATAGACTAGGTGGCTTCAACAACAGCTATTTGTTTCTCATAGTCCTGGAGGCTGGGAAGTCCAAAGGCAAGGTGCTGTGGACTTGGTTCCTGGTGAGGACCCTCTTCCTGGCTTACAGCTGGTGGCCTTTGTGCTGTGTGCTCACATGAGGGGGGAGAAGGGGCGGGAGGCCAAACTGTCTGGTCTCCTCTTGAAGGGCACTAATCCCACCATGAGTGCCCCACACTCAGGACTTCATCTAAACCTAATTAACCTCACAAAGGCCCCACCTCCAGATAACAACACTTTGGGGGTAAGGTACTTGAACACGTGAACACACAACAATGACTTTAGGGTATGTGCTTCAAACACAGCTAAGTATCAATCAATTATAAGCTATTACTGACTAATAGCTATAATTAACATTTCAAAAAGACGTGAAGTGCCTTGAGAAAAAGTGACTTTTGTATTGCAGCTATTTTATTTTAGTGTGCTCAGATTCAGAAAAAAGTTTTCTGGAGCAGCCTAGAGAGAGAACAATTTCTCTCAATTTAGGCTTTAGAGAGAAATAAAGCCAAGGTAACCACTAAGGCCCTCTCTAGGAAAGATTATTTTTATACAAATAACATGGTTTGGGACATAGCTGGGATAACAAAAACATTTTCCCCTTCAATTTGCTTCTAATAGCTACAAAAAAATTCTAGGACATAATTTACCCCCAAAAATGGGTTTAATCAAAGGAAAGTGAGTGTATATGTATATATTTCTACATCTATTCAAGGTAATGTATTTTTTTGTTTTTTATTTTTTTGTGTGAGGAAGATCAGCCCTGAGCTAACATCCATGCTAATCCTCCTCTTTTTGCTGAGGAAGACCGGCTCTGAGCTAACATCTATTGCCAATCCTCCTCCTTTTTCCCCCAAAGCCCCAGTAGATAGTTGTATGTCATAGCTGCACATCCTTCTAGTTGCTGTATGTGGGACGCGGCCTCAGCATGGCCGGACAAGCGGTGCATCGGTGCGCGCCCAGGATCCGAACCTGGCCGCCAGTAGCAGAGTGCGCACACTTAACCGCTAAGCCATGGGGCTGGCCCGAGGTAATGTATTTTTAAATTGAGGTCTTTTAATTAAAATGCAGCAAGAGTCAGGGAGATTTGGGTTCAAATTCTGGTTCTGGACCATACTTGCTCTGGACCTTGAGCAGGTGATTACATCATCTTTCTCAGAAGTTTATACTGGAAGAAAGTGCTGACATTGACAACTAATGACAGATACGACTCAATACAACTAAATGATCCAACCAAAAGTTGTAAACTGTCTCTGATTGGGACTCCCTAATTTTAAATAATAGCTGTAACGACCAAATTCAGAGAGACCTGAAAGATCACTCATTTGTTGGTCTAAATTTTGGCTGCACAAGAGAATCACCTGGGGAGCCAGTGAAAAGACTGATGCTTTTGCCCCACCTCTGGCGATCCATTCAAATGTTCTGCAATGTGTGTATGCACGAGAAAGGGGGGACAAATAGGGAGCAGTTGTGTATAATTTTCTACATAATTCCAATGTTCAGCAGGATTGAAAACCACTGTTTTATCCAACCCCTTCATTTCACTGAAAACTGAGGCTCTTACATGTTTTAAATGACTTGCCTAAGGTTCCACAGTTAGGAGGCAAAACTGAGATTAATTTAACAGAATGTTCAATGGGAATGAAGTGGGTGATAAAGAAAATACTAATATTAGTAAGAATTTGTATCAAGTTACAGTGTTATATAAAAAGCAGTAAGCTATATAGACCCTTCACTGATAGAAAAATATCTCATCTTCCCAACAACCATGAAAAGTAGGTGACAGATTAAATATGGTCAAAAATTCTTTGTGGTTCTTGGGCCAGCCCCACTGGCCTGGTGGTTAAGGTTGATGGGCTCTGCTTTGGCAGTACAGGTTTGGTTCCCAGGCACAGACCTACACTACTTGTTTATCAGTGGCCATGCTGTGATGGTGGCTCACATACAAAATAGAGGAAGACTGGCAACAGATGTTAGCTCAGGGCAACTCTTCCTCAGCAAAAATAAACAAATAAATAAATGTTTGTGGTTCTTCCCACCAAGAGGTGGATTCTTTTTCCCCACTCCTTGTTTATGGGCTTGCCTTGACCAAAAATTAATGCTGCATGAGCCCCAGGGTCTAGGCCTTAAGAGGCCTTGCAGCTGCAGCCCAGAGGCCTTGCTCTTGGATGCTGCCCTTGGGACGCCATGTAATGAAGCTGATCTAGCTTTCCAGAAGGTGAGAGGCCACAGGCACAAGAACTGAGATGCCCCAGCCAACAACTAGCGCCAACTACCAGACGTATGAGTGAGTGCTTCTTGGACCTTCCAGCACAGCTGACCCCCAGCTGAAGGAGGCTGCATGAATGAGCAGGTGAAGTCAGCACAGGAACCATCAGCCAATCCATAGAACTGTGAGTAATAAATTGTTGTTGCTTTCTTTTCTTTTCTTTTTTAAAGGCAGATTCACCCTGAGCTAACATCTGTGGCCAGTCTTCCTCTATTGTGTATGGGGGTTGCCGCCACTGCATAGCTGATGAGCAGTGCAGGTCCACACCTGGGAGCCAAACTTGCAAATCTGGGCCACCGAAGTGGAGCGCATGAACTGAACCACTACACCACTGGGCTGGCCCTAAATTGTTGTTTTAAGTCACTAAGCTTTGGGATGGTTTGTTATACAGTAATAGAAAACTGAAACAGTATGTTTTATTTCCATTTTATGATGAGGAAAATAAAGCTTAGAAAAGGTGACAGAGGTAATTAAATAACACAATCAGGATTTTAACTCACGTCTGACTCCAAAGCCTCATTACTTTATGTTCCTTAGTAAAAGTTAAAAAAATCATTAAGTGTCTTATTTACTTAAAATGATAAAAAATATATATGGAAAAAAAACTTAGTCCAAAAACATAGATGATTCGTCACTTAAAGCTGAAGGTCTAGGGCCGGACCCGTGGCTTAGTGGTTGAGCGCGCGCACTCCGCTGCTGGTGGCCCAGGTTCGGATCCCGGGCGTGCACCGATGCACCGCTTCTCTGGCCATGCTGAGGCTGCGTCCCACATACAGCAACTAGAAGGATGTGCAGCTGTGACATACAATTATCTACTGGGGCTTTGGGGGGGAAATAAATAAAATCTTAAAAAAAAAAAAAAAAGCTGAAGGTCTAGTAAATAAATTTTGCTGAATTAGACCATTTATACCAAAAGTTCAAAGGTTTATGCTGCTTCTTCCTTAGTGAAAAATATCTGAAGTAAAATACTCTAATCATAGGAAACATTGTAGGTAGGAAACTATCTGGGAATTTTTATTGGAAATTACAAGCTGATCCCACAAATACTAAGGCAGCATGGTAATTTAATCCAAATACCTGTTATAAACATATTTCCAGTAGTTATACTAAAAATAGAGAAATCATAGCACATCTATACCTGATTATTTTTCTTTTCAAATCCCAGCCATATACACCTCCATTCCCTTTGTAGCGAGTTCCAGAGACAATGTCAAAATTACCCTCCTTTTGCTTCCTGTATAAAAAATAAATTAGCTGTCAATTAGAAAAAGCTATTGAGCTTTCAGTAGTTATTTCCATGAGCTACACAACAGAACTTTTAAGATTTGCATAGAAAAAAATAATGCTGAGAACATAGATGAACTGAGAGATCTTTCAAAGTAAGGTTGTCAAACCTGATTTTTTTTCCTTTTTAAAATTTTTTTTTTAATTTTATTTATTTATTTTTTCCCCCAAAGCCCCAGTAGACAGTCGTATGTCATAGTTGCACATCCTTCTAGTTGCTGTATGTGGGACGCGGCCTCAGCATGGCTGGAGAAGCAGTATGTCGGTGTGCACCCGGGATCCGAACCCGGGCCGCCAGCAGCAGAGCGCAAACACTTAACCGCTAAGCCACCGGGCTGGCTCTCCTTTTTTAATTTTTAAAACTACCAAATAGTACTATTTGGTGACTGCACCATGTGAAAATATAATAATAATCCTAAAATACAATAATAAAATTACAGTCATGTGCCACATAACAACCTTTTGGTCACCGACAGACCACATATACAATGGTGGTCCCATAACATTAGTGCCATATAGCCTAGGTGTGTAGTAGGCTATACCACCTAGGTTTGTATAAGTACACTCTAACATGTTCACATAAAGACAAAATCACCTAATGACACATTTCTAAGAATGTATCCCCATCATTAAGTGACACGTGACTGTTTAAATTTTCCCAATCCCCCCTTCATTCTTTTCTTGGCCCCCTGAAGTAAACAATGCCTAAACAGCCTGGTAACCCTCCAGATCTTTCTCTTTGTTTACAGAAAGATATCTCAAAGAAACACACACATCCCTAGGATTTTTGGTTGCTTTTACAAAATCGGAATCCAAAAACGTACATTTTGCAACTTGCTTCTTGTCAGTTAATAATATATATCATGGAATCATGGCTGTCCCTACCGGTCAACAGAGAATTTCCCCATTCCTTTTAACAGCTGCAAAAATATTCCATAGAATATTGAACCCACATACTCCTACAAATGTTTCCGAGGTGAATCCTGTCCCCCACCCCCAAGAACACGACAACCCAAAGTGCTGCAACATTCTTATATGTGTATATCCTGGTGCTTAGACTACCCAAAGTGGAACACAATGGAACTGCTGAAATAAAGCTTATCAGTATTTTTAATTCTAACAGATATCACCAGAAATTACTTTCCAGAAAGGTTGTAGTGACTCACACTTCCTCCAGCAATATTTGAGTGTGTCCATTATCTACCATCTTAGTGGTGCTGGATGTATTGCTCTATAGGTTTTTAATTTTGACAAACTAATGGGTAATAAAATAGTAACAGTTATTTTATTTTGCACTTCCCTGACTACATCCCAGGGTGAATATCTTCTCTTAGGTTTATTAGCCATTTGGATTTCTTCTGCACTGTGTCTTTCACCCATTTTCTACTCCACTGGTTCCATTTCCTTGTCAGGTCAAAGGGGCTTTTGTGTATTGGAGATCTAAGCAGAGAAGGCATCTCTGAGGTGAGTTTACGCCAAGATCAAAGAATGAGAAGTAGGTGGCCTTAAAGGAGCAGGGGACGAGCATTTCAGGCAAAGAGAATATAGCACTGTGTGGACACAGAAATGGAAAGAGCAGGCCTTCGGTAGAGAGAGCAAAAGAGGGGACACAAGATGAGTTCAGAAAGGGAGGCGGGGGCCAGATCACACAGCAGTTTGAGGGGCAAGGAAAGGAGTGTGGATTGTTTCCCATGTGTTAATGGGAACTCTCTGAAGTGTTCTAAATAGGGGAGTGACACGATCTGATTTTGTTTTTGTGTACTTAGCTTACATTCAGAACAGCTTCCAAATTCTTATTCTCAGAAGTTTCACGGTCTCCAGGATTTTCTAATATAATGATACCACTTGCAAATGAATATAATTTTGTATCCTTTACCAATATTTATACTAAATTCTTGTCTTACAGTATTACTTAATATCTCCATGTTTAATGATAGCTGGCATGCCTATCTTGAGAGTTTACTGGAAATGACTCAACATTTCACCATTCAGTAGGACATCTGTGTTGGGACTGGGCTGTCTACCACGTTTAAGTGGTTTCCTTCTATCTCTACTTTAAAGTTTTTATTAAAAATGGCTATTGAACCTTATCAAATACCTTTCAGCATCTATAGACTTAATCACACTGCTTTGTTAATGTGATAAATGAACTGTGTTGATCGATTCCTGATGATGAAACACTCTGGCATTCCTGGAATAAACCCTATTTGTTCATGGTATTTTATTCTCATGATGCAGGGCTTAATTCCATTTAACCAGGAAGCTGCCTTCCATCTTTCTCTGTAGTTTAGAAGAATTTAGATAACAAAGGAATTATCTATTGATTAGTCCCTCAGGGCCTAAAATATATCATTTAGTCACATATCTATACTCATGAGTCTCAAATCTCTATGTTGGCTTTATTTTTGATAGCAAACTTACAACAGCATGTGCATTTTTAATTAATGAAAAATGAAAGTAAGTCCAAAATCAATATAAGATAAATGATTTGAATCATAATTCTTTCAAATATTAGAAATACCTACCTAATGAATTCAGGAATAAATTTTGGCTGAAATTTAGAAAGAATAAACAGTAAGTCAGTAAAACAGACTAAGAATATCATAAATAGCCAATAAAGAAATATAGCACTTACATGGTGTGAGAGATCAGCATCCATAATAATTATGTAGTTTCCTGTGGCATATTTCAATCCATGAATATATGCAGTTCCTAAAAATGAAAATGTTTATATCCATTAAATAAAATCACAGAAATGCTTAACTATACATATGAACAGGGAAGAAACCGTTAAGCATCTGAAAAACATACATTAGTCCTCTAAAAGTGATACTCAACTATAATTCAATCCTATTTATTTTCCATCTAAAACATCTCTCAATCCCGTTCTTTATTCTCCAACGTCACCTTAGTCACAGGCACCATCTTCTCATGCTTGGATCCCTAGCTAACAAGTCTCCCTGCTTCTGCTCGTCCCCATCACTCCTGGCCTATTTCTACAAAAGCTCCCCAGCCAGTGTCTTCTACACTGTAAGCCTGGTATACCAGACTCCTGCTCTGGTATTTGGGGCCAAAGGTGCAGCTACCAATGACTTAGTCACCTTTGTGCCTAAAAGTTCCCCAGGGACTCGGCAGGTAAGGGTAACTGGTCAGGAGCAGGATCTGGGGATTCCCGCATCCTGTAGCCCCAAAACACCATAGTATCCTATTAGCAAGACTGAATTCTTCTACGTTCTTTTGTTAAGAAGTGACTACCCACAGCTTTTTGGATTTCCACTAACTGGTTAGTAATTCTTGGTTGCTTTCATGGCAGTTTCCAGATTATTTAAATCCCAAAGAACCTTCTGGATTCAGATATTCAGAACATTTGATGATGCCAGGGAACTGATAGTCTTCAGGACAGCAGATTTCAATTCTTAACAACAGTGCTTCCTCCAGGCTCCCCTATTTTTCAGTAAAATTATACCACTTCTCACCACAAGCAACTGTGACCAACAGAAACAAAGACATTCAGATTTTCATCTCAGACTGACCGAGCTCATCTGAGATTTTCTATAACCCCTATGTTTAGAAGCTTTCTTTTTTAAAAATAAAAAAATAACTTTTTTAAACTTAATAATTTAAAGAAATGTTGAACCCCTAAGTTTAAAAGCTTTCTTCTTTAAAATTAAAAATAACGTTTTTAAATTTATACTTTAAAGCAATGTTGAAAGGTTTACAGCTAAGGCAGGGTGCTGGTCCAAGGTGTTTGCCCTCAGATCCCTTCTCTGGCCTTTCCCTACTCTGTTCTATATTGCAGGGAACTATCTATTTCCCAGCTTCTCTTGTCAACTGGTTTCCAAACAGCTTTGGGAGGCACAGGGGGAAGATTTCAAGGAAAGAGGTGGAGAAGAGTCTAAGTGTCCCCCCTCTCTTACTCTGCCTCCCAGTACTCACTGATATCCTCCATGGCTCCAGCTCCTGCCATGTATCCCCCACACCATTCTAGCCCCCTCTTGGTAGCCCACGTTACTAGGTTCTAAAAAGACAGTCTCTTCCTACTGTTGCTCCATCGTAGGGGTGGTAGTGACCTCCAGCTATTACTAATCTCTGAGTAGCCTCACTGTTCCATTTGGTTTCTCAGCAATTCCTTCACCCGTGTAACCAGATTCTCTGTATTAAATTCCCTGTATTGCAAGACTTACAGTGGTTTCTGTTTTCCCAAGTGGGCCTTGACTGATACAGGCACATCAAGTTAAACCATTTAAACGTCATTAAGATCATTAAAAACCATCACAGAAGGTCACTGTATTTTGGCCCTGTTCCAAACCAGGAAAATACACACCAGATAATCTTACCAAAGTAAGGAGCAGGTATGCTGGGTGAGAGGTTCTACTTACCTAGTCCCAACTTTTTCTCTCGTGGTCTCAGAAGCTGTAAGAATAAGAAACAACATTTTAACACAAAAAATCAAAAACCTGTCTACTAAAAATTCTTTTTTGATAAGTGCCTACTCATTTTAACAGAAATATAGCTGCACTTATTAGACCTTAAAGGAGAGTATGCTTAACATATTTTGCCAAAGTAAAGAAAGTGTTTAGTAACAAGTTAAACAGTTTAACAACTTTTAAGGAAAAGCAACATTCTTTCACCACAACTCCACAGGCCAAATTTTAAACTTTTTTTTTTCCTGGTGCTATCCACCAGAAAACAATATGTAAACAATGTTTTTATGTCTGTTACTTGATTTATCCTTTTAAACAATATCTATTGTTTCCTTCCTAGGAAAACTGAGGATTTAACCCACTTATCCCATACCTGCTTGGAATATTTGGTACCCATGTTTGTTTTCTCAATTCCTTTTGTGATTTTTAAATGCTGATATCACTCCATCAACTTATCTTGATTTTATGTTGGAGGGCCTCATCTTATTCGCTACTGGTCCAATGGCACGACTTTAGGGTTACATTGCTACCAAGCAGGTTAAATTCTGTCTCTTTTCTTAGTTTGTCAATTACTTAGTCTTTCTACATTTTTTGCTTCATATATAAACCTGACTTAGTTTAGCTTTTTCCTGAATGTCTGGAAATTTTTGAAAAAGTAAAATGCCAAAGTTTGACTCTGTTCTAAGTTTCTGAGATACGGGGCTCAAGCAGACTGTCTACTGAGCATATCTTGTCCCCTTCTGCATTTGCCAGTGTATAAGCAGGTTATCTCAGATCGCAAATCTCTAAATAAAATATTTTCAGTTCAACTCAAGCAGGATATATTAATGTTTTTTTACTATATGCAAGCTGCTGTAGGTCTTGGGAAGGAACAAAGAAATGATAAAATACATTTTGCCTGATAAGCTCTTACATGGAGGAGAACCAGACATTCAATCAATTGTCTATAATAACTATGATACACTGAAGAAAATCAAACAAGATATGTCAGGTTTTATTTGATTTTGTGACTGATACTTATTGACAAAATACTGACTTCATCTGGTGTCTGCCCTGAAAAAGCAAATCCTTTAAAGTTCATCTTAGATTTTCTATAACTCTATGTTTCAGCTGGAAAAATCTTTCTTTTTTCAAATAAATGATAATTTTGTTATTTATATTTTTCAGAATGTTAAAAAGTTTATATAAAATATAAACCATGTTGTATATGTTAGAGTACTGTGGAGCAGTTAAAAGGAGGTAATCTGCTGACAAAAGATCTCTAAGACATAATTAAAAAGTAACAGAATGATACAAGATTGCATTTATGTTTAAAAACAAAAACCACATTCCCTAGAGTTCTAGAGACAAAGACACACACACATATGCGCACACATGCATAAAAAGGTCTGAGGGAACATACGCCAAACTGCTGACTGGGGTCTCCCTTGGAGAAGGGACTGGCTTGCAAACCAGGAAATGCTCATCCAAGGCAACTTCAGTTTCATCGGTAACATTTACATTTTACAGGAATGCAGTTGTTTATTTCTTATGTAATAAATTCAAATTGTTTCATTTGGTGGGCTTTACTTTCAGACTCTTAATTCCACCCCCCTCCCTGTTTTGCCTCCTAACATTAATGAGATTGCCTTTTTCCACATGAGGCAGGATGGCATCATAGATAGGAGTGGGGACTCTGGAGCCCCTGCTAATTTGCTGTGTGATCCCAGGCACTAAAAGGCACAACAGAGCTCACCTCATTCAGCTGCCATGAGAACAAGCAGTGAATTCACAGCAAGTGTGTGAAAGAGCGCCAGGCACATACTCTCTGAAGAACACTTATCACAAATGCTTTTAAAATACTTCATGTGACCCTATGATTTGTTTGACAAAAAATTTATTTTGTAAAAATTTTTATCATAGAAAATCTTGATGACACTTCTGAAAAACTATATCAATTTATACTAGGATCATCAGTATTTGAGTAGACCTGTTTTACTATACTCTCAAAAACAATGGGTTAAAAGAAAGAAGAAAATAAAAATAAATCTTCAGCTAAGAAAGGCTGTTTTCTCCTACTTTGCAATTCTTTACTTATCATTGAGGCTCATATTTTTTTCATTTTTGGCCATTTGTAGTTTTTGTTTTATGAATTACCTGTTTTTGCACATTTGATTGGGGCACTAATCTTTTTGTTAGAGATAGTTTTGGCATTTGGGGATGGACAGAACATTTTTTAAGTCATCAAAAATCTCTCAATCCTATAGTTATGTTTGACATTTTAAAAGTAATGAACATGTGTTACATTTTATTATGAACAATTTTTAAAAATACTAAACTATAAGATGACAAAATACAGGTGACTTTATGTGATCTTAAGTTGGAGGATGAGACAAACCATATAAATTAAATGTGACAGAAGCATTCAACATAGAAAGGCTGAACTCTCCACAACCTCGGCTCTCCCTGCCCCACAACCACCGTTAACAGTTCAGAATATGTGCCGCCAATTTTCCTATGGTCCCATTTCCGCCGTTTATTAGTTAGCTGTGTAACCTTGGAAAGTGACTTAACCTCTCGTCTCAGTTTCCTCATCTACAGAGTTTTAAAAAAATTTATCTTCCTTGGCTTTTTTCTGAAACATTTACTTCAGCCTGTTTGACAGGCTAGCTCACAAAGCATTGGTGCTGAATACTTTATCTGAGGTATTATAAGATGGTTTCAATAATAATTTTTCTCCATTTCTCCCCCAAAATAAACATACATATGTCACTTAAAAGCAAATAAGTATCATCCCTGGCACGGCCTGATACTGCGGGGGGGGGGAAGTAATTTTCTAGTTTAAATGATTTAAAGGTCATAAAAGAATGAATGAATAGAGAATTTCTCTGATGCTACAAGGAAATCATGATAATGAATGTTAATTATTTTCCTCATTATTTTGGACTTTATTGGGTTGATGGGGGAAAATGGAGCTCTTGGAGGACCATGTTGTTTTAGAATTTGAAAAGTCAACTTAGTAGGCATTCCCTAAGATCAACCCATCGGTGATACCTCAAGGCTAAGGTTCTATGACAAGTATTCAAAATATTGTCAGGTTGATGCTCCCGATTAAACAGCAGTGCATAACTTAGTGTATTCTATACATAATAAATGTGAATCAGTGGTCTTGGCCCAGAACTTTAAAAGAAAAACTGGGCAACTGTTTGCCAAAAAAATATGAACCTAACATGATCAGGAGTCACTGCTAGAAGGCTGAAAACTATCACCTTTTTAATCTCTTTCTGTACATCAGGCTATTCGGAGAGGACTGGAGGTGTGATAGATGGGTAAGTTGCTCATCTGTGAGACAGACGGACAGACTCTCTAGTATAGGACAGATTTACCACAGATATAAGAGTAACACATTTCCCTTAAACTCTGCCCACCAGCCAAGATTTCCTCCAACTGATTAGAAATTATTTCATTATTTGGATTAATCAAGAATATTTGGACCCAGTGACTATTTTTTATGATGGTTAATTGCCATTTCTTGAAATGCAAATATCAGCAAATGTTCTCCAAGAGACTTCTTTATGTCTACACCAATGGTTCTCTACTGAAAGGAGGTGACAGGTTTGCCCATAAGCGGATATTTGATGATATCCAGAGATATTTTTGGTTGCCACACTGGGGAGGGAGGTTGCTACTGGCATTCAGTTGGTAGAGTCCAGGGATGATGCTAAACATCCTATAACATATAGGACAGCCTCCTCCCACCCCCCCACCCCCTGCAAAGAATTATTGGGTCTCAAATGTCAATAGTGCTGAGATTGAGAAATTCTGGTCTATACAAATTACAAAATACCCAATGCCTAGAATGTATTTTCTAATTAAATCTGGACTTAAATTATATGCTTTTGGCCCAAGAATTATCTAAAGTTGAGCTTACAAGTATGTTCAAACATTTATAAATCCAAACCATTGATCAAAAATAAAATTACACAGCTGTTATAAAATGAACTCTACATCTGCCTAAGTTACTCCTGCAGAAGAACAACAAGTTTCAAGGTACAGTGAGAAAATCTAAAGTTTAAGACTCAGAAAGTCAATCTACTCCCACAAGACTGTTCTACAGATAAAAAGAAAAATGCCAAGCACTCTGAAGTCATTCCTGCTTCACATGAAAACAGTCAGTCACCTTTCCCAGGTACAAGCTTTTAGCTGCAAGCATTCTCTACTGAAAGTATGAGAATACCTAGAGAAAAGGGCAAGAAAGACCAAGACATACATTACTAACTGCAACCTAGTTCCATAGTATTTATCAATTCAATACCATGCTTTAATTTTGCCCTTCAAGAAAATTTATCTGAGTCAGTCATAAAAACACTTCATCCAAAGGCTCACTATTTTGCTGTAAAACTACCACTGACCCAACATATCAAAGATACGTAAAACCTCAAGCATGACGCATGTTCATGTATAAGTTGTATAAGTATATATATAAGTGTATAAGTTGCCTTTTATCTTTTCAGTTTCTAGACAGGCTGAATTCAAGCACTGTTCATTTCTCATCTTTCCCCTACATAAACACAACTGATACGAAAGAAAAATATTTGTTCACGACTTACAATTTTGTCTGACCCATAGATCTTCTCTAACTGTTCAGCAACGTCCCTTGTTCCATCTGGGCTTCCATCATCTATGATTATAATTTCATAGTTGATTCCACTAAAATAAAAAAATAAATTTGTATTGTTTGGCACCAGTATTCTCAAATTAAAAAATAATTTTAAAATTACTTATTCCTCACCAGTATAAGTAAGATTCATTGCCATATTAATCACAAAGGAAAACTTCAATTATCAAATGAAATAAATATTTAGTACTTCACCTCCAAACTCAGCATATTGCTGGAGAATGCTATTATAAAATCCTGAGATGGCAAAAAATTCTCACACAGAAAACATACTCTTTAGTTAAAAAATGATAGTATTACATATATACATGATATCATATGAAATTTTATTTACCTACTTTGGAAATGGAATTTTCGAACCTTAATTATATAAAATATCAAAAACACGTTTAAAAGATATCTCAAGTCGACTGAGTAGCTCTGAGTGATTATTCTTTTTAATTTAATCCCAAATAGATCTAAATAACACTATCAGGAATAAACCTGATTTAATTTCACCCTTAAAAAAATCCACTTTAGAATGATGACAATCTTTACACCACTATTTCAAATAGTTATACCCCTTATCCCACACTGTCAAATAAACAGCAATAGCACAGTAGAATTACAAAAGATTTCAATGTGCTTCAAAAGTAACACCCCTCTGTTACTCTCCATTAACTTCACCTGATAGTTTCTATGCTAACAAGCCAACACAACACTTGGATGTACATGTGATTACTATTATGTCTCTCCTCCCCTCTCCCCTTTTAAAGAAGACATTCTTTTCCTTAATTTTATTGGGAAACTTAAGGGGAAAAAAAAGAAAAGCCCTACAATACAACATTGTTTCCTCTTGGTCCTGCTTTAAGAAACATATGCAAGGGAAGCAATCAGAAAACACATTCCACTGTAAAAGGCTTAAAAAAGTCAACCCCAGCAAACGTGGAAGAAAGCAAAAACTCAGCTTCATCTATTCCTTAAGAGAATATAAGGACGCATTCAGCTTCTCACTGTGCCTTAAATATGGGCATGTGCTTTACAAGCCAAAACATGTAAGATGTTGATTCTAGTGCTGAAAGAGATATACTTCATAAACAAATGGAGTTTTTCATAAGCAAAATTACTCGCTACTCCCACTTCAAAGCACCCACACAACCCTAGGGTGAGGTAACTTAAAGGAATCAAGCTGAGCTGACTTAGGTAATTTGATTGCATCTGAAAAGAAGACAGTTGTTTCCTTCACTAAACTTCATTTTGATTTAAAAATATCCACGCAGAAACCATTAAAAGATAAATTGCACGACAAAAACAAATTAAACAATACAGTAAAAATATTGTATAATGAGAACACAAACCGGAACCAGATCTGCTACATTACAATTTCTCTAATTTGGAAAGAGCTTGTAGAAATCAAAATAAAAAAATAACAATTTTTGAAAAAGAGGAAAAAGATATGAACAAAATAACTTTAAAAGGCCATGTATGTGAAAACAGTTATTTCATTCAAAGAACTATAATCAAAACACCAATGTTTTTCACCAACTAGCATTTCCAACGATGTTAAGTTTAATGTAGCTCAGGTTGGCTGGTTGGTGGGGAAAGAGGCACTCTGAAGAACGCTGGAGAGTCCTACGCCAGTACAATCTTTTTTGAGAGCAATTTTGCAATAACTGTCCATTTTAAGCACATTTCTGCTGACCCAGCAATTCCACCGCAAAGACTTTATCCCTCGCCCCGTATACTAATAAAAGTTATGAGTGTGTTCGCTGCAACATTCGTTTAATAAAAGAGCACCTACTATGTGTCAAGCACTTTTCTAAATGCTGGAAAATATGGTGTAAGCAAACTCTCCGCTGTCATGTGTAAGGCAAAAGTCAAACAAAAAAAAACAAAAACAAAAACAACTCTGGAAATAATCTGTGTTCATTGATATGACCGGTTAGATAAATTACAACACAGCCACATGGAATACTACCTAACTTTCTAAATAATTTGCTAAGTTTGTATTTGCCGATATGGAAAGATCTTCAAAAATTTATACAACACGATCCCATTGCTATAACCGTAAAACAAACTATTTCGTACGAATACCAAGATTTCCTGGAGCTTTTTAAAAAAAATTATATAACACTTCCAAATTCAAACTCCAAACTCCCTCAGCTTCTAACCACCACATCAAACGTCCACCGTGATCAGCGAAGGTGTCCTTCCGCTCTCTCCAGAAAGGCTGTCCAGCCCAGCAGCAGTTCCCCATCCCAGACACCCAACCTCATGCTTACATAAGCACTCGGCACGGGGGCGGGAGTGAGCGCGCTCGCTTCGACTCCGGGCTCCTGCCGCAGATCCTGACCACCGAGAGCGAGGAATGAGGTCAGGCTTTCAGCCTCGCCCCAAGTAAAAGGGGTGGCCAGCCCTTCTAAGAAAAAGGCGGATGGGGAGTGTATAAGAAAGATAAAGGAGAATCTGACAAAACCGAAGGGGAACGAGAACCCGAGACACGCAGAGAACCCCAGAAGCATCTGCCTCTGCTCTCCTCGCAGGGCGGCCTCTCCTCGCAGGGCGGCCTCTCCCCGCGGCCTCCCTCCGCAGCCGAAGAGAGGCCGGGCAGGGCCGCCTCGCGCAGCCAACTGCCGACACCCGGGCGGAGGAAGCCAGCTCAGCTCATTCCTCGGGGAGGGCGGCCGGGCGTCTACCTCTCGGAGAAGCTCTTCACCAGCAGCCACACGATGAGCGGCAGGTTCTCGCGCTCGTTGTAGGTGGGCAAGAGCACCGAGTACTTGTCCTGTCGCAGGACGCACCCCGCCCGCTCCCGCCGAGATCTACGAGGGCTGCAACTCGCTTCCTCGGAGGCCATGGCGGAACTGCGCGAGACGCCGGAAGCGGAATGACGTCAGCGCGGCGAGGGAAGGGGAGGGGTCGGACCGTACCAAATTCGGGGAGAGGGGAATGGTATCTGTGGTTGAGTTCTACTTCTCCTAAAGCCCTCTATATGGTCCCAGTGGAAATATTAGGGACATATAAATCTGAAAGTTCAATTTTAGTGTTGCTTCTGGAACTACATATCTACTTATCACCTTTTCGCAAGCTCCATAGTTTTTTTAGTTTATTCCCGTCGCCAGGAGACGGTAGGCCGGAAACGGAAATGCCTTTCGAGACAACTTCCGGAAGAGGCCGCCATGGCTGCCAGGGAGGAGGTGCTCGCCTTGCAGGCTGAAGTTGCCCAGCGTGAGGCGGAGCTGAGTTCCCTGAAGCAGAGGCTGGCGGCGGCTCTCCTGGCGGAGCAGGAGCCAGAGCGGCTGGTCCCGGTGCCGCCCCTGCCGCCGAAGGCGGCCCTGTCCCGAGATGAGATTCTGCGCTACAGCCGGCAGCTGGTGCTGCCTGAGCTGGGCGTGCGCGGACAGTTGCGCCTGGCGACCGCGTCCGTGCTGGTCGTGGGCTGCGGTGGGCTCGGCTGCCCACTGGCGCAGTACCTGGCGTCGGCCGGCGTAGGCCGCCTTGGCCTTGTGGACTACGACGTAGTAGAAATGAGCAACCTGCCCCGCCAGGTGCTGCATGGCGAGGCGTTGGCCGGCCAGGCCAAGGTCCTTTCGGCCGCCGCCTCGCTGCGCCGCCTCAATTCGGCCGTGGAGTGCGTGCCCTACGCGCAGGCGCTCACGCCAGCCACGGCGCTCGACCTGGTCCGCCGCTATGACGTGGTGGCTGACTGCTCCGACAACGTACCCACCCGCTACCTGGTTAACGACGCCTGTGTGCTCGCCGGCCGGCCGCTCGTGTCGGCCAGCGCCCTGCGCTTCGAGGGCCAGATCACAGTCTACCACTATGACGGCGGGCCTTGCTACCGCTGCGTGTTTCCCCAGCCACCTCCAGCGGAGACCGTGACCAACTGCGCGGACGGCGGGGTGCTCGGTGTCGTAACTGGGGTCCTGGGCTGCCTGCAGGCGCTGGAAGCGTTGAAGATCGCTGCGGGTCTGGGCCCCTCCTACAGCGGCAGCCTGTTGCTCTTTGATGCCCTCAGGGGACATTTCCGCTGTATTAAGCTGCGGAGCCGCAGGCCCGACTGTGCAGCTTGCGGGGAGCGGCCCACTGTGACTGACCTGCAGGACTACGAAGCCTTCTGTGGCTCCTCAGCCACCGATAAGTGCCGCTCCCTGCAGTTGCTGAGCCCAGAGGAGCGAGTTTCTGTCGCCGACTATAAGCGACTTCTGGATTCGGGGTCACCCCACCTATTGCTGGACGTCAGGCCTCAAGTGGAGGTGGACATCTGTCGTTTGCCTCATGCCCTACACATTCCTCTGAAACATTTGCAACGAAGGGATGCGGAGAGCCTGAAACTCTTAGGAGAAGCAATGCGCAAAGGGAAGCAGGGCGCACAGGAGGGCGCGGCTCTCCCCATTTATGTGATTTGCAAACTGGGCAACGACTCCCAGGAAGCCGTGAAGATCCTGCAGTCCTTGACAGCAGCCGGAGAGTTAGACTCTCTAACAGTTCAGGATGTAGTGGGGGGTCTCATGGCCTGGGCTGCCAAAATCGATGGAACATTTCCACAGTACTGAGGTGGCTGGTATAGTCTGACCTGAGAAAGATGTGGATTGCCATATTACCCTAAAGATATATGTATTTGTGTTTTTTTTCAGTAATGTACGGAAGAGCCTGGAATTCAACAACATCTGGGAACACAGACCCCTTCTTATAAGGGGCTTTTTAATAGTAACTCACTGGATGACGTAGTTATTAATGGGTTTTAATACTGAGAACTGCCTGTGTTTTCAGCACCCGGAGGGTGTCTTGAGCATGTGATATAATGTAAGTGACAAGATTTTGTGTTTTAAACTGTAGATCATTTGCCTGTCCTGCCTTTTTTCCAACTCCCACAATCAAAAAGCTCTGTAAATTGTCCATTCAATGCCTGGAATTAAGGTGTAGTAAACTTGGTCTTACCAAATTGATTACAGATGATATAGTTAAGGTCAGGTTATTGTTTACTAAGACATTCTTTGGGTCAGATTTCTACTTCAAATGATGGACTATATCCTACAGAAATAAGTGTTTAAAATGTAAATTGTTTTAATTATCTGGGAAGTCATTAAATATTTTGAGTTAATATCAAAGTGAAATATTTACAGGTTAGCAAAATAAAGGAAACCACCTTTGTAGTCTGTTTCTCTTATAAATTGCTGATTTTTTTTAAGTTAGCTTCAGGATCCACCTTATGATGTACACAAACATTTTCTAAACTGTATTCCATGGATTGGCTTGCTTTGGAATCTTCAAGTCCCAGCCTTCTGCCCTCCCCCTGCCCTTTTTTTCCTATCCAATCTGTTACTTTTATTTTTGGCTTTACTGTATGGCCAGGACCCCAAATATGATATTGAATTAAAGTGGAATAGTGAACATTCTTAGCTCTGTCTCAGTCTCAGGTGAAAAACTTTTGACTATTTGACCAATATTGCATGTTATTGCTTTACTGTCAATAAATACCATTTATCAGATTAAAGAAATTTTTTTCTGTTTATAGTTTGCTATGAGTTTTCATTGAATTCATCAAATGCTTTTTCTCCATTTAAGATTATGGGTTTAACTTTTTTCTCCTGTTGATATAGTGAATTACATTGATTTTTTTTTTATTGTGGAAAAGAAAAACATAAAAATTCACCCTCCCAGCAATTTCCAAGTGTACGCTACAGTATTGTCAAGCACATGCGCATCCAAGAACCCCCCAATCCGACATGACCGAAACTTTACACCCCTGAGCAACTCCTCACTGCTCCCCTTTAATTTGCCTTTCCTATTTTGATTTAATCTGCTTTCTAGCATTTTATGGCAGCGCAAAATGTAGATGTTTTTGTATTTTTAACAACATTTTCATGAAGTGGCGGGTCGTCTCCCTAATTTCCAATATGCAACAAGATTAAAAGTAAAAATCTGGTATGTGAGTGTATATCAGTGGTAAACTGAAGAGCAAACGCCATGTCAAAAGGGGGCCTCTACTCTCTGGCTGACTGTTGCATGCGGGCCTATAATCATCAGAAGTCACAGACGTGAAATCTTTGTATCTCTGGCTTCAAATTTTTAAAGAAGTTTAAAAGTATTGAGGGCCAGACAAAACCCTCTGCAGGTCAGACTGACTGACTAGTTTGCAGCCTCTGATATGGACTCCTGTTTTATTGTAAAAGGATGGTATTGTTTAACAGTCAAATTCAAGTCATCACTTTTTAACTGTGAAACATATTGTAACTCATTTTTTTGAATTAGTGTGCTTCAAGTGTGATAGGCCTTTCTCTGTTATAAAGATGGAGCAGGTTTCTTATAACTGCTTCTCCCAAGGAGTTGTGGAAATAAAGAACTGAGACCCGGATAGGAGAACAAAGATGACTGGCCTGTGTCTTCTTACTCCCAGGACAAAAGCTGATTCTGGTATGTATCAGGAAACAATCAAGTGGAGAGAGAGAGGACTGTTTCATATTGTAAAGACTGATGTCCTAAAGGTAGGCAGTTAGGCAGTTGGGCAGTTTGGGTAGTTCCTGGAAACCTGGTTGTCACTGGGGACAGAAAACAGAAGCTGACTCTGTTTTTGATCAAGTGGGAGAAGAGTTTATTAAAGTGATAGGAGATGCTTTTGAGAATTTTGGGGACAGCCTCAAGGCTATACTTCCAGGAACGATGCCCAAAAGCATGCACAGAACTGGCCTCCTGAGCCCCCGGTCTGTGCTGTGCTGCCCCATCTGGTGCTAGAGGAAACCGCTAGCACAGACTTGCCGTCTCACCTGACCTGGCCCCACTGCCCTCCCAGAAAGCCCGAGCTTCAGCCATGGGGTGGGGGGGGTGGGGGGCGGGCATGAAGCAGAGAAACTTTGTATTCTTTTCTGAGTGAGTCTTAATGAGGGCGTGTCTGGTAGGGAGAGCCCAGTCACATGCCTACATACCAGCTGCAAGAGCCGCTGGGAATTTGAGTTCTGACATCTAGAAGAGGGACGCAGAACTCATAATCTGGGATTTTCTCAAATTAGTGAAAGGTTTTTCAAAAGATGAGCTATTAAGAATATGACAGGTACCCACTACAGAACCCAGATCTTTCTATTTGAAATTCTGTTTTCTCTGGGGATTGTGGCCAGGTTTTTAGTTTTAGATGGGATCTGAACTTGATAACTGTTTTCATTTAACAAGCATCAAGTGCCTTAAGTGTACCAGTTACCATTCTAAGTTCTAGGATAAAGATGAGCAAGAGATTTCCTGTTGTCATGGAATTTACATTTCAATGAGGAAAACAAATCAAGTAAATTAGTGATAAGTCCCGTAAAAGAAATGAGACTGATTGATGTATTGGGGTGGGGAAGGAGGAGCTATTTTGGATAGGTTAATTAGGGGAAGCCTCTTCGGAGAAGGGTTGACATTACACCCAAAATCTGAACAGTGAGGAGCCAGTTAGATCTGGGAGAACATCCCAGACTGGGAGAAAAACAAGTGAAAAGACCCTGAGGCAAATAAACTTGGAATGATCAAGAAACTGAAGAGTCAAGTTGGGCTGTGAAGAGTTGGGGAGAGTAGAACTAGGGAGGTTTCCGAGAGAGGGAATGTGTCTTGTAGGTTGTAGACCACAATAGGAATTTGGTTTTTGTTCCAAGTAAAACAACAGCTAACGTATATTGAGCACTTAGTGTGTCATTTGGGATTTGAACCCAGATTGTCTGACTGAAGAGCTGGTGCTCTAAGCACTACGTGACTATACTGATTCTTAGTGCAAACTTTGTAATTGTTTATGTTTCATTATTGGAAAAACTATGCCCCGATCATCACCAAATGGAGAGAGCTTGTATTTCAGATACAATGGAAATGTGAGCTGATGCACTTGGTTTGCAGCCTTCTCTTTAGGGGAGGAACTCCAGAGTGAAATCCTTGGGAGCCCTCTGGCACCCGTGTGTCACATAGGAGATGTCCAGTTAGGAATGAGCCACTGTGGTCAAGGAAAGTGAGACATAAAGTCTCAACGTAAGGAGTCACAGCTGGTAAGTAGAAGGGTTGCCAAGGAGGGGGCTCAAAAAAGGGCAGTAAGTCTCCTGAGAGTGTTCCCAGGGGAGAGGAGGGTTTTTTTTTTTTTTTTTTTAACTCATTTGTTTTTAATTAGCTGCTCCCTCCCACGGCAACAGAGGGTCCCCTCAGCCTGAGGTCAGGTCCATGGCCCAGTTTGCTCTATGCAGGAGATCTCTTTGGTTTTATAGATTGTATCTTCTAAGGGTTCCATAGCTAACATGAGGTAGCCCTGTCCCAGTAATAGTAAAATCTCATCATTTGAAATCATGCACCTGCCTTGTTTCAGGATAATTCTGGAGTCTGTTTGGAATATTAGGAAAACAACTATGGTGCAGGGGTGGGAAAGTATTTTGCAAATAAACTGGGAAAAGGAATTAATTCACATCTTTGATAAACTATAATTTTTGAACTGCTCAGGATGAGAGAGAAAAGCTAATTAAACCAGCCCAGAATTTGGGTGATAAATAGTACATGTGTGTATGTATATATATATATGTATATAAAATATAATATCTAGACATAATTATATACATATATAGGTTACTATGACGTCCTACATATTGACACTGATTCTGGTTCTAATCATTAGTCCAATTGTTCAGGATTTTAAAAACAACAAATTGTGAATTATCTAGGTGTTTTATCCCTGTTAATACCATTTGTTGGACAGGTTGTTGAAGGTAGGGAAAGAGGCTTATATCTTTTTTTTTTTTTTTTGAGGAAGATCAGCCCTGAGCTAACATCTATTGCCAATCCTCCTCCTTTTTTTTTTCCCCCTCTTTCTCCTCAAAGCTCCAGTAGACAGTTGTATGTCATAGTTGCACATCCTTCTAGTTGCTGTATGTGGGGCGCTGTCTCAGCATGGCTGGACAAGCGGTGCGTTGGTGCGCGCCCGGGATCCGAACCCGGGCCGCCAGTAGTGGAGCACACACACTTAACCGATAAGCCACGGGGCTGGCCCCCAAGAGGCTTATATCTTAAAATTTCCCTTCTTGGTGACACCTTAGTTAAAAAGGTGCCAGAGGAGGGTGACATTGATGGAAGATGTTTTGGGCATAATTTTTAATTGGCAGCATTCTCCTTACCCAATGCTTCCGGATGAAGGAGGCCTGAAACGAACTGGAATTTAATAGACTGAAGTTCAGGTGAGTTGAAACAGTTGACTCTTAAGTACAGTAAAACTCCACACCAGGCTTGCTATGTGTAAGACCAAAGGGAGGCAGTGTTTCTACGTCTCAACTTTCTTGTCAACAGAGGTAGGCTCTGGGTTGTCTCCACACTCCCACCTTCTTCCTTGCTGGCAGGTTGGAAAATGTCAGACTCCTTTCCCAGCCTCCCCTGCAGTTTTTGAAGAACCTGCACTTCTTTTCTTTTTTTTTTAAATTTTATTTATTTATTTATTTATCCCCCAAAGCCCCAGTAGAAAGTTGTATGTCATAGCTGCACATCCTTCTAGCTGCTGTATGTGGGACGTGGCCTCAGCATGGCCGGAGAAGCGGTGCGTCAGTGCACGCCCGGGATCCGAACCTGGGCCGCCAGTAGCGGAGCGCATGCACTTAACTGCTAAGCCACAGGGCCGGCCCAGAACCTGCACATCTAAACAATTTCTTCCATCCCATGCAGTTCAGATCTGTCCACTTCTTCCTATCTTCACTGCTGCCACTCTAGTCAAGCCATCTCTCCGTCACATTTATAGCTTTTCAGGAACACACGCACACCATCGGTTGCATCACTGGGTGCCAAGAGCACTATCCACCTTAGGTCTTAAGATAACAAAAGAGGCACCTGTGTATAGCAGGGTCTACCACCTCAAGAAATTTTTGATAATATCAGTACAAAAATGTCCTCTCGGTATTTTTGAGAGCTGTGAAGGAAAGTAGGACTTTTAGATCACAAGTTTCTCTTGGTGACATAATGAACAATAATTAAATATCTCTTTTGCACAGAGCTTAAAGGGATTTGCAAACTCAATAACTACAGGGGCTAGGCAAAAAAATAAAGGAGGGAGGTGGCCAGCTAGGGACCATGAACTAGAGGGCGTCTGGCACATCTAAAACTACTACACAGCTTTAGCCAGCTTTGCCGTGCAGGAATGTGGGTACAGTGTGGCCACATCGTTCAGTCTTTTAAGAAAATCTGAGTATTTGGAGTTTTCTATGAAATCTAATTTTTTTTTTTAAAGATTTTATTTATTCATTTTTTTCCCCGCAAAGCCCCAGTAGATAGTTGTATGTCATAGGTTCACATCCTTCTAGTTGCTGTACATGGGACTCGGCCTCGGGTTGGACGGAGAAGTGGTGCCTCGGGGCGCGCCCGGGATCTGAACCCGGGCCGCCAGCATCACAGCGCATGCACTTAACCGCCAAGCCACGGAGCCGGCCCTGAAATCTAATTTTTAAATATTGAAAATGAATTTAGAAATTCTGAAACTGTTTACCACTGAAAACATACCTGTGGGCTGGATGAAGACTTGAGGCTTAAATAGA